ATGCAGAAGAAATTAAAATAGATTTACTCTAAAAGGGGATACTTAAACTATATATTTTATAAAAGAAACCCCTAATCCTTCCCAGTAAGTGAGTTTTGGTTGCAATTAAAATATAATTATAGATTTCTAAAGCATGCTCCTCACAGACTTTTATGTGCTATTAATAAAAATTGTCTTAAGACATAATGCTCAGAACACTATAAATAAAAGTTAGCAGAAAATATGAAATACAGACTAAATAAGGGGTAGGTGAACTATGCAACCTGTGGACCATATATTGCCCATTGCCTGTTTGTGTGGCCTGTGAGTTAAGAATGGTTTTTCTGTTTTGGGGTGATGGTTGAACAAAATGATGACCATAATTAAGGTCACTGAACTGTATGTGTGAAAACTGTTGAAATGTCAAATTTTATCACATGTATATTTACCACAGTAAAAATAATCAACAGAAGAATCATTTTATATCCATTAGTAGTTTCATTGTAACAAAGGCTTGCTTATTGGTTAGTATTATCTAGTATTACCTAATATTATCTATGGTATTATCTCACTGAAATAGCAGAGTCAGTCCCTGGACTACACATTATTGTACCTGCAGAAGAGTGCATGCTGAACCTTGTAAAAGTCATCAGAAAGTTCATTTGATTTTTCCCAGTAACTGTTACTAGTTGTCTGTATCATTAAGTATAATGATTACTCAGGGAAAGCAAATTTAGTGTATGCAATTAATTCTCCTTTCAAGACATATGTAGGAAGAATAAAAGAGCCATAAAAGCATACACATTTATAAATGGTGATTTGTTTAATTCTGTGAACATTGCAATTTAGTAAGTCTTGTCTTTGCTTCTTGTACCTGAGGCTAAGTGGCAGTAAAAGTAAAGAGGAAGGCAAGAAGAGGAAGTGGAAATGACCAAAAAAAGCCTCACCCTTTATATACTTTATACAAAGGAAACTAAAATTGATGGGCATTAGTTGGGAGCTCTGGTAGCATAGTGGCTAACGTACTTGACTGCTAACCAGAAGGCTGGTGGTTCAAACCC